AGCAGATTTACATGTCACAGCCAGATGGATTCCTTGAGGCCGGAAAAGAGAACCATGTGTGTTTGCTGAAAAAATCCTTGTATGGTTTAAAACAAAGCCCGAGGCAGTGGTACAAGAGGTTTGATGCTTTTATGATTTCCTATAATTTTGTCCGAAATGAGTTTGATAACTGTGTTTATAGTAGGAAGCTATCAGATGGTTCCTATATATATTTGTTGTTGTATGTGGATGACATGCTAATTGCAGCTAAGAGCAAGACTGATATTGATGCTCTTAAAGCTATGTTGAGCAGTGAGTTTGAGATGAAGGATTTGGGTGCTGCCAAGAAGATTTTAGGAATGGAGATTTGGAGAGACAGGAATGCAGGTCTACTTTATGTATCTCAGAAGAAATACATTGAAAAGTTGTTGCAGTCTTTTCAAATGGAGAATTCTAAGCCTGTTAGTACTCCCTTGGAAACACATTTTAAACTTGATGCTAGCACTCTTCCTAGTACTGATGAAGAGAAGGAGTATATGAATACGGTTCCTTATTCTAGTGCTGTTGGGAGCTTAATGTATGTCATGGTTTGTACAAGACCAAATTTGGCTCATGCTGTGAGTGTGGTTAGTAGATTTATGAGTAATCCTGGAAAGGCTCACTGGGAGGCCGTGAAGTGGATTATGCGATATTTGAAAGGTACTAGTAATATCTGCTTAGTTTATGGTTCTAATGATATTGGGTGTGGTCTTATTGGCTATGCAGATTCTGATTATGGTGGAGATCTCGTGAGGAGAAGATCTTTGACATGTTATATCTTCACTCTTTTTGATTGTGCTGTAAGTTGGAAAGCAACACTTCAACCTACTGTTGCTTTGTCTACCACTGAAGCGGAATACATGTCCTTGACAGTGTAGACACCCAATTTCGTCCGGGGGGCATACAATTAGCAAAATAGGACATCAGAGGGACCTCACCGTGACTTCTTCTGCTTCTGCTAAGACACTAAGCATGGACAAATTGTCATCATCTTTGTTTGATGGATAAACTGCACGTTCACTTTTTGTTGCTTTCAAATTTCTCAAGGCCTTTCTAATTGCCTTCTTTAACTTGTTCCTTGAAGCCAAGTATATTTCACCCTCAATTGTGAACACAGTTTGATCACCTTTTCTTCTTCTGATAACTGAGTGAAGTTCATGCATGCTTTCCTTTGTTCTCAGTAAGCATTCTTTAGTTGTACCACAGATATCCAAGAGCCGTAAAGACCCTTCTAGAATGTCATCAATGCATTTGTCACTGCACTCTCTTGCTAAGGCTTGTTGTTTGATTGGAAATTGGAGCAACTTATCAGTGCAATCATGCAAATCCAGCAAACCATTAAGTTTGTGGCATAGTGAAGATGATGATATTGAAGAAGTGGCTTGAGAGTCCTTCAATCTTTGCAGATGCTCCTCATGCTGTGATATGAGAGGGTGAGGTGCGGAGGGCAAACTGTTGCATCGAGTGTGGAGAGAGCTCTTTGTGTTTGTTTCAGTGACTGCCATTTTCTGTTATCAGAAATCAAAAGGCTAGGAGGAGATGGGATATAAAGCGTTCAATGTGTTGTGTATTTTAAACTTCGAGTCTTGAGTTTTAAGGGTTGGAATCTACTTTATATACAGCAAAAGAATTATGGGAGACAAAAAGTTTTTCTTTTTTTGTGTCACATAATGAGCATCAAATCAATATATTATATTTATTTAGATATAAGGTTCCTCCTCATAGTGAGCTTGTTATTGTATTACAAGGGAGACAAGAAGAATATCTTTCCTCAGTTGTCTGATTCTAGCAATGCTTTCCATGCACCTTTACTTCTCATCTTCGAATTTTTATCTTTCCCAATTACATAAATAATTGAAAAGTGGCATCTTTGCATATATAAAAATCAAATTATTGAGCATGCATCATAACAGAAGCTATTGTCTGGAGGAGAGTTTATGAACTTGTCTGTCAAGATCAGGACATGAAAGAGAGAGGGAATCTTCATTTTCTGATATCAGCATATTAATTCAACATTTATTAATGAAACAAATTATTTTGCATTTGTACATGAAATTACTTGTACCAAATTGGTTAGGGAACATGAAAGGTGTGAGGGTGATACATCAACCTCAGTAATGATGTTAATGCAATGTCTCTTGCACAGGAACACTCCTAATTACGAGCAAGCATCTTGATTTGGATCTCACATCTGCCATGCCATGTTTCCTCAGTGCTTCCCTTATATCTTTTTCTTCTTAAAATTGGCATCATTGCATGTTTATATAAAAATGCAAATTTTGCAGTGCAAGCATATAAATAGGAGAATTTGTCTGGTTTGCTGGAGCTGTTTTTATTCTTAAACACAATTCATTGTACAATTTCAAATTTGTCGTCTCCGCTCTCAATCAAGGGCAAGGCGAATCTTCAACTGCAGATATCAAACAGAAACACAATACAAGCAGTATAAGAGGCTCTGTTTTGTTGAAGAGCAAATCGCTGAGGTCTTTGAAGACAACAAGCAATACCAATCACATTGGTTAATAACATTTTTTTACCAAATTTTCTGTGCAACATGCAACTACTCCCTTCCACCGAAGTTAGTTCACACATGATTCATAAGGATTGGACCCTTCTAAATAAACAAAATACATTTTACTGATTTTAGAGATTAATAATTGACTGATTAGAAAATAAACTAAAAATTAAATAATTTTACTAATCTTAGAGGTGCCTAATCCATATGTAATTATGGAAACTGGAGACATAAGGAATCTCACCTTATCTGACGCGCCCTAACTGAAGACTAGCTGATTTTGATCCAGATCTCAAAAATGTTAATACAATAACGCAATGTCTTATGCACGGGAACACCCCAACTCAAGACTCGTATTTTTCTTTAACTAACACTTTCAAATATACGTGCAGCACGTGTGGACAAACAATCACGATCATTGTTTTATTTGATATAATAATAGTTGTATTTGGATTAAATTTCTGATGTTTGCATTGGCTTATCCTCTAATATGGAGGACATTAAGTACGTTGTTAATGTGAGAACAATTAAAATGATGTCGACAATTTGTCCATTTGATTCAAATTGACTGAAATGATTGAATCCCATCTGAGCTAAGTTTGATGCCAAGTGATTGTATATTTGTAATTTTCCAGCCCCTCCTTTGTGTTTCCCTCTCATTTTGTTTTTTGCATAGATTACAAAATAGATCTTATATTTTTTTTCTCCATATTCAACATTTTTAGGAAGTCTTTCCATGCTCAAAACTGGGGGTATATAACTATATATATCACCATAACTATCTTCTTTAACAATTGTTTTATTGTAGGATTTTAACAAATGTTGTTGATCTTACTTGTCCATTTTGTGGTTTAGAGCTTGAGACAACTGAGCATCTATTATTTGGATGCCCATTTTCATATCATGTATGGCAAAAGTGGGATTTGTATTTTACTCTACCTCCAAATAGTATGATACACTTTCTGCAACATATTGGAATCATAAGAGGTAGCAAGTTGCAAAAAATTTCACTATGGATTTGGATTTGGTGCTTTATTATGTGGTCCCTGTGGTTGCATAGAAATCAATGTCTTTAAATATACAAGTCCTTGTATCAGTGGAATGAACAACCTGCCTTGTACTTGGAAGATTTACAATAATTCTAACTTTTTCAGCCTATCTAGTTTTTGATGTTGCATTTTTGTGTTCTAGGAAGAGATTTTTATGGATCTGAACATTCTGTTTTGTTTCTTTTGCTATTGGGAATCACATCTTGTGATGTTCTCATTAGTAGTCTCATATTAATAAATTGCTCTTTGCCTTTTCCAAAAAAAAAAAAACTATCTTCTTTAACAAAGAGAAAAAATAATAGAGGGAAAAAACAAAGAAATAACTGAGAATGTGCAGTGATAGAAATATGGCACATGATCAAAAAGGTATATACACTTTTGTTTAATCACATTTATGTACAAGTATGAGACGGTCAAGACAAGGTTTAGATACATATTTAGGTGGACTAATGGCTGAAAATGTTGAGTAAGGTAACTCTGGTTCTAATTAGTTGTCTTGAGAGACGTTCAACTCCAACTTCAATATCTTCAATGCACAACTCTAAATTTTGCACATGGCTTTGAAAATTCTCAATACTTGAAGGCTTTGAACTGATGAGAAGCTTCAACACTGTGTCAACCATTTCGAATTCATTAGAGTCTGACACTTCAGACTCGCAAGATATTCTTTTGGGCTGCACAAGCTTGGAGATTACTGACCACCTGCTCTGCTTTAACTGACTTTTGGGGCCAATAAGAAAAGTCAACAAAGATTCTAATTGGCTCATAGTGATCAATTCTGCTTCTTTTAAGATGCTAAGCATGGAAAAGGTCTCCTTGTCTTTGTTTAAGGACGAAACTGTGAACTCATTTTTTATTGCTTTCAAGTCTCAAGGCCTTTCCAATTGCCTTCTTCATCTTCTGTCTACATGCCAAGTATTTTCCACTCTCAATTGTGAATCCAGTTTCAGCATCTCTCCTCCTGCGGATTACCGAGAGAAATTCAAGCATGCAATCCTTTGATTGCAGAAGACAATCTTTAACTGTACTACAAATATCCAAGAGCCTCAGAGACCCATCTAATAGTTCATCAATCTGTTTGCTGCTGCATTCTTGTGCCAATGCTTGTTGGGAGATTCTCAATTGGAGCAACTTATCAATGCTGTCTTGCAAATCCTGCAAGTCATTGAGTCTGTGACTTATTGAAGATGATGACAAAGAAGTGGTGGCTTCAGAATGCTTCAATCTGTGCAAATGCTCCTCAATTTGTGATACAACGGGGTGTGGTACAGTGGGCAAGCTGTTGCTGCATTTTGTGCAGAGAGCTTTTTATGTTAGTCTCTACAAGTACCATTTTCTCTTCTCAGAAAATGAAGATGGCTAGAAATGACAAAGACAACTTGTTCTGAACTCCGGGTCTTAGTAGCTGATATCTGCTAAATATATAGGAAATGAATTGAGGAGACAAGAAGAATATTTTTGTTTTCAAATGTCACCAATTGAGAGTGCAATTACGTTATCTTAATTCTGGTCTTACCATCCTAGTGCTGCCACAGCAACATTTGCTCAATGCTTCCCACTAATCAAGCTTCCCAACTCATTTCACATTTTTTAACTTGAGAATCACATGATTATGATATCTGCCATAGATGGTATGCCTTTGCTATGTCTCCTCCTTCTTTTGAGGTCTTACCGTCTAAGATATAAAATCTCAAATTGTGAATTCCAAGAGTGCAAGTGATTGGATTGAACGTTGGAAGTGGATCTTGTGTCTGCAGGAGGAAAAGCAGCTCTATTTAAAAATACCATTAAACAGAACATGTTTATTTGTATGTGGCTTGAAAATGGGGAAGCCAGGTAGGGGTATCTCTTCATCTTCAGACATCAAAGATCGTTCATATCTCATATCTGGATGGTCATGTGTATGCAGTGTACGCAGGTCATATCAAGTAATTTGTTGATGTTTATGCAAATGAAGGTGTTAGGCACACTAAATAATTATATAGTATCATGATTCATGTACAATATTGATTATTCAATATCTAAATAATGGTAAGTGGTAGCACATGTATATACATTCATAAATATTGAACCAATATATTGATATCAGAAAATAAAGATTCAATCTCTCTCTCTCTTTCCTGTTCTGTTCTGGGCAGACAAGTTCATAAACTGAATTATGTTTGTTGGAAATATTTTGTGAAAAATATAGAAAAATTGGATCTTGCAGATTAATTAAAATTAAAATTGAAGATGGAAAATTATCATTAAAATTACCATTGAAATTCATAGAAGAGGATGCGTATGTATAGGCTTACAATCAATTTAAAATTCCTAACAAATCTCATCTACTAACAACTCTACTTGTTGAGATTATATTGAATAATTAAAAATAAAATATAATAAATAAAATTGTAACAATAACAAATATCTTATCTAAAATTTATTCAAAATTCAAAATTTAAATAAAGGAAAATCTCATAAATCTAACACTCCTCCTTGAGATTTGCCATGAACATCACAAATTTTAGTTTCATGAACTCCAAAAATTGAGTTTTGAAATGTCATGTCATCAAGTTGTTGCACATCAATTTCTTAATCCAAATCATTGTCTTCATAGTCATTCAATCTAACTCCTCCTCCTGTCTTTGAATACCATTTGTTGGAATTTGTCATATCAAATACATCAATGTTTATGAATTGACACAACTCCTCCTCCTCCTCTAGACAATAGCTTCTATTATGGTGCACGCTCCATAGTTTATTTTATTTTGGTAGCTTGCAAAGATGCCGTTTTCAATAATCTACGTGATTGAGAAAGTAAAAAATTCCGGGATAAGAAAACTAGGTGCATTGGAACTTGGAAGCATTGCCAGTCCAGACAAACTGAGCAAAGATACTCTTCTCTCCCTTGTCATATAATAGCATGTTCACTATGATATAATTGGACGCTCATTGTGTTAGACTCAAGGGAAAACCTTAAATAAAACTTCTCGTCTCACATAATTCGTTCTCTATATATAGTAGATGCCAATCCCTATAACTCCAAGATCCGAGAGTTCTGAATACACAACACAATATTTGTTTTCTGAGAAGACAAAATGGAAATCACTGAAACAAACACAAAGAGTTCTCTCCACACTCGATGCAACAGCTTACGCTCCGTACCTCACCCTCTCATATCACAACATGAGGAGCATCTGCGAAGATTGAAAGAACCTGAAGCCACTTCTTCAATATCATCATCTTCATTAAGCAACAAACTCAATGGTTTGTTGGACTTGCAAGACTGCACTGATAAGTTGCTTCAATTACCAATCAAACAACAAGCCTTAGCAAGAGAGTGCAGTGACAAATGTGTTGATGAAATTCTAGAGAGGTCTCTGAGTCTCTTAGAGATCTGCAGTACAGCTAAAGAATGCCTACTGATATCAAAGGATATCATGCATGAACTTCACTCGGTCATCAGAAGAAGAAAAGGTGATGAAACTGTATTCACAATTAAGGGTGAAAAATAATTGGCTTCAAGGAACAAGTTAAAGAAGGAAATTAGAAAGGCCTTGAGAAATTTGAAAGTAACAAAAAATAAATGTGCAGTTTATCCATCAAACAAAGATGATGGCCCTTTGTCCATGTCCATGCTTAGCGTCTTAACAGAAGCCGAAGAAGTCACAGTGAAGTCATTATGATGGAACAAGCTAGAAGTGATCGATGTTCTTCTCCTTGCTTCCTCCAAGTCCACACGTCTTTCTTTGAGGTTCCAATGGATGAATGAGACTTTGATAATGTTAATTTTTACTTACATTCTAGTACCAAATTTGTTAACACATTCAACTCTTTTCTAACTTTTGACTTATGTAATCCTCAATTTAACTTCTCTTTTGTAAGTAAAGACACTTTGGTTACACATACAGGGTTATACATAATTAATCCTCATTTTTTGTGATTTTTTGGATAGGTAATCATGTTGGAAGAAGCCATGTCAAAGAGAAGAAGCTGGATTTAACTCCAATGAAGCTAGCTGGCATCTTCAGTAGACCCGCGCTGAGCCCATAGCTCAACTCGCTCAGCACACTGGATCAGGGAGTTGATGGAGAATTGGCACCGCGCTAGGCGTGCCCAATCATGCGCCCAGCACGCCTTCCTTCATGCGCCGGGCGCGTATTGTAGCGCGCTGAGCGCGTCACTTAAAGATTTGCGTAGATGGATATAATTTCGAGCGGAGTGCGAAGAGAAAGTAATCTGGAGGCAGAACCAAACGAGGAGCAGAGTGCAGGAAGCTAGGGTTCACCTCTTCACCATTGTTTCTCATTGGTTTTCTCCATTTCTTACTCTTTTGATGTATCTTGCTAATCTCATGGACATGGATTGCTAAAACCCCTTTGTTGGGGTTAGATGTAGCCAACTTGACTCTCATGTAACTTGTTGAATATATATATATCTATCTTCTTCATTCAAATGTTAGTATCATGTTCTTGTGCTTAATGCTTGTATGGAATGATCAACTATTACATGATCTTTGATTACTTTTGGTGTGGGAATATCATTGGTAATCTTGTTTGAGAATGTGGTACCTTGTAAACTTGTGTCTAGGAATGGAACATGAGTTACTTGTTGTTTGGAGCCCTTAAACTTAATGCAAGTGGATTTATTGAAATATTCAAGGGATTGATATTTGGTAATGAAACTTAGGCTCTTTTAACCAAGGAATTGGAATTTGAGAAAATTAGCGGGCTAGCATTAATGTTTGAATGAGAAGGAGTATTTTTATGCATGAGATTAAAGTTGGTGAAGTCTAACCCTAACATTTCATTCATATAAGTTAATTTTCAAAACCGCATTCCAAGTCTTTGATGAAAGTTCACTTTAGTTCATTTGCTCTTTTAACTTAACAATTACAATCCATCAAATATGAAATCATGCTTTAGTCTGTATTAGCTTTAATTCCATATATTACCATTGTATTACTCAAGTCCTTTGGGAAGAACGACTATTACTTCTACTTACTACTTGTGCGATTGGTTCGCTTGCCATATTTGAAAGAAATCGTTTAACAGACTTCCAAACTCGCGAGAATGAAGATGAATCTGTGGCTGAAATGTCTCCTAATTGAAGGAGAAAAAAGCTCCATATAGCACAAAGGAAGGATTCCTTTGTGAAGGTGCTTAAGGAGGGAGAATTTTCCTAAGTAGTTCGTGACTCTTTGAGAGAATTTTATGTAGTGAAAATCATATATCATCAAAAAGTGGTCAGCTACAAGTGTGTAAGGTATATATAGGCGTGAAGAAGCTTGTGGAAGAAGCTAGACTAACTAGGGTTGGAAGTGAACCATGGTATGGTCACTTTAACCCTAGTCCGCCCAAATTTGAATTTGAAATTCAAATTTGGATGTCTTGGCCGATCACACTCACCTCACACACGCTCATGCGAACCTTGTGTTCATTTGGAATGTGATTTAAGTGGCATATCATTTGGATTTGAGGCATGTGAATGGCACCTAGGTGTGATCATTCATGCATGCTTCAAATTCAAATGAAATGCTAACCTAAATTACATTTCAATGCACATAAGGCTCTCTTTACCCTAAAAATGTCCTACACTATTTGACCTAAAATACAAGGTCAAAAATAAACTATACCATAATTCCTAAAATAAAAAGACAAAGAAAATGAGACCAATATTGGGTATGTAAAGCCTATGGTCAAAAACACTCAAAATACAAGGCAAAATTAATACAATATGAAATAGTCCTAATTTATGTACAATTTTGCTAGGCCAAGCCTCAAGATGTAATGGCCTACGTGAAGAGTAGCTTGGGCCTAGAAAACCCACTATCCTTCAAGTTAGTCAATCTCTCATGTATACTCCTAGCCATGGCTCTAGTAATTGGACCTTTGGCCCAAGGTCTTCCATCACATTAGAATATTTGTTGTTGTTTATCTATGACCCCAAGGGACAACCAAAGTAAGAAAATGGTTAGCAATCTCAAAGCTGATGCAACCTAAAAGAGTGTCTTGTGACTCTCTGACCTCTGTTGCACGTTTGACAAGTGTACCAATCATTACTATAGTAATAATATTATCGTCCTCAGAGATTGAATTTATTGAATACTAGATTACTAATTTACGTTAATTTTGAGTAATTGAAAAACAAATAGAACAATGAACGTAGAAAATTAACAAAAGTTCACTCAATATTAAAATTGTTAGAGAATTGATTTCATATTCTTTCCTATAGATTCCTACCCTTTTCAATTAATGCAAGAATTGTAATTATCCATTTGAGTTTATTAAGAGTTATTTATCCCTAATCTCTTAGGCAAGTAAATCTATTCATTGAACCTTAATCCCCAATTCCTTAGGACAATTATGAAATTCAATAGAATCATGAAGAACAATTATCATCTCAAACACAAACTAATTAGACATGCCCAATTTCCCAATTGTGACAAAACCTAATCTGTTCTATCTATAATCATAAACAATCTCCAATCTCCCAATTGTAAAATTGTTCATAGAATAAACATTAGAGACATGGATAGAACACTAGGATAATTAAATTTAACCAAACATCAATTGAAAAGGTTCAGAAACTATGATCCAGAATATTAAATCAATACTCTAACAAAAAGAAAATTAGTTCGCATAATGTAGAAGGAAAAATCAAAAGAGACTGATGAGCCGTTCATCTTTCAATGGTGAGTTGATCTCCTCTTGATAAGTCGTTCCTCTCCCTGATGATCAGTTCTTCTTTCTTTTCTTCTAATTATTCCTCTTTTATTTTCAGACTCTTTTTTCTTTTTTTTTAATTCCTAAGAGTTGTCTTTTCCTCTTCTTTTCATTTGGCCCAAGCCCACAACCTATCTGTGGAATTTTCTGACTTCAACTCTTCCATCTTGATACTTGCTCTCTTTAAACAATGATTTAAGCACCTAAAACACTTATTTACAAAGAAAAACAAGAAAATCAAAAGTGTAATATAAAACAAAGATAATGCATGACAAAATCATTCAATCAATGCAATAATATATGCAAATGGCCTAAACTAAAGTATGAATGCAAAGACAATTTATACACACATCACTCTCAAGAATCACTCAAATGAATTTGAGAAGGTGGATGCAGCTTTTTAGTCTCTCTTCGGTCACAAACCTTCATCTATTGAGTATCTCCTAAGCCATCTTGAAAATTTGGAGATGTGAATTCAAGATCTAGAAATAGGAATCGAGCACCTTTCAAGAAAACTAATTAGGAACCGAGTTTCTCTTCTCAACATCTTCAATCACTAATCATAGAACATCTCTATGATTTTTGTGTACTCAATTTTGACTCCATGAGTTCTGTCTCCCAATTGTACTTTAATGTGAATTAAGTTTTGTTCTTTCTGCAGAACAAGTGTAAATCTCATCTTTCAATTGTCCTTTTTTCTTTCAAATGTTCACGTCAAATAAGTGAAAGGAAAAGAAAAGGGTAAAGAAATATTATTATTTCAAACCTATAGCAATTTGATCAGCCTTCTTCATCAATTCAAGAAGGAAAATGAAATGAAAGGTCAAATTAAGGAGGAGTAAGGTCTCCTCATGATTAGAAAACTGTAAATTGTTAGTAAATAAAAGAAAATTCTGCAAATCAAGCATTGAACCCACATGTGCTTCAAAGTCAATTTGAATAAGTTTCGTAGCTGTCAAGCTTAAAATTGCCATTAGGTCGATGATTAAATCAAAATTTAAATGCCTGTACTACACATATTCTCAATTTTTATAAGCTAATGTAGGTTAAAAAAGAAGATGATTAGATTCCTGCTATGAGAGAAAGCTAATCGATATCATATTTTAATCTACAGTGAATGAGAGAGTTGGAATTACATAACACATTAATATAATTCAATTACAACTATGATAATCCAATTTTTATTGCTCACTTAAACGACATTATGCAAGATCCATAAGCTTAATTGAAAATATGACCATCGAGCATTAAGTATGACTAAAGATATAAATCTCAAAGACTTTTAGTAAATTAGTAAAAGAAATATAATTGACAAAAAAAAAAATCTAATGCTGGATTTTGGAACATTTTCTTTTTCATTTTTGATACAATGATGGTAATCAACTCATGACTTCATATACGCTACCAAAGTCCCTCACCATTAACTTAATCCTAGTGACATTTTATACTCGTATTTATCTTTAGATAACAATTTTTATTAGATGCTCTTCTAAGATGAATATATGGCATAACCAACAGAAAAACAACATCCATGGTAAGCTTGAAACAGAAAAAGTGGGGAAAAAGCTTGGGTTTGACTTCACTTGTTGTGATCTGTTTTAATCGTGCACACGTGTATTGCATCTTTATATACTCTTGTAAGTTGCAAAGAATGATATACCATTGAGAAAACAGCGCAGGTCCGTCAGTGGGCAGACCAAGGATTGGCTTTATATTAATATTAATATATAAGTTAAAGCTTATATGTGAGAACAAGGCGATTCTTGTTCTCAAGAGAGGCAATGTAAAGGTTGTTTTAACATATTAATACAGCAGTCCACACGTGTAGATGAGTTTCATTTAAGGCTAAAACACGTTTTAGGTGAGGCATTTGCATTGAAAATGTCATAATCATGCAAGTTGAGACAAAATATGAGTTGGACAGTTTCCTTGGGAGAGACACTGTTCTAACATTTATGTAATTGTTTTAGATCCAAATCTCGATTAGTTAGCCTCATTGATATTTGCTTAAGAAGAGATTCCTTATGTCTCCTACAGCCATTATATATATTGACAAGATGCCATTGGAAGGGCAGATCCATAGACTCAATTCTTCATCAAAATCAAGTCTTCTCTTCTCTTCTCTTCTCTTGGTGAAAAATGACATCCTCTCCTTTGAACCCAAAATCTCACGGTCGCTCAAATAGCTTGCCCTCTAGACCACACCCTCTCATTCTAAAATGCAATGAACAGTTGGAGACCTTAAGGGCTTCCAATGAAACCTCCTCTTCTTCATCACTGAGACATAAGGTAGGAGGCTTGCAAGATTTGATTGAGTGTGTTGAAAAATTGATTCAGCTTCCCCTCACTCAAGATGTTCTTGTTCATGAGCATCAAGAGAATTGGGTGGATGAGCTTTTGGATGGATCCTTAAGTCTCTTAGATGTGTGTACAGCAGCCAAAGATGCTTTGCTGCACACAAAAGAATGCACACGTGAACTTCAATCAATGATAAGAAGGAAGAGGGGTGGTGAAGTGGAGCTGACAGCAGAGGTTAAAAAATTCTTGACATCTAGAAAAGTAGTGAAAAAGGCCATCTCCAAAGCCTTGGCAAATTTGAATGGCACTTCAAAGAATTACAACATCTCATCAACTACAAATAAAAGCCACCAAACAGTGGCTTTGATTAGCATATTGCAGGAAGTGGAAGTGGCTACACTATCAACATTTCAATCACTGCTGCAATTTATCTCAGGCTCAACACAATCAAAGGCAAACCGATGGCTTTCAATTTCCCAGCTAATTCAACCCAAAAGAGTGGCTTGCTCCCTAGCGGCAGATGAAAGTGAATTTGCCCTGGTGGATGCAGCATTGCAATCTTTCATATTTACCAAGACTTGCAAATTTGAAGACATAAACAATCTGCAAAACCACTTGGAAAAAATGGAATCGTGCATTCAAGACTTTGAAGAAGGACTTGAGTTTCTATTTAGGCGTCTGATTAAAATCAGAGTTTCCCTTCTTAATGTCCTAAACCACTAGTCCAACCTAGCTGAGACTGAATTTTTGTAGATCGACATAGATACTCTTGTACATGGAAATAATAAATGTATATGTGTAGACTCTAGTGATAATGAACGGAAAATATTTCTCAATATTTGTTGTCAATGTCCTCTTAAGTGAATTCATCATTTCCAGACTAAGATCAACAACATCTTGACAACATTTTTAGCATATCCAATATAAAATTGCTAAAATAATCTAAATTCAGCTAAGTAATATACATGTTCTTCCATTGTATTTCCTCCTCTTGTCTCATCATTCTTTTATGTTTCTGTGCCCGTGTAGCTATATCAATTCTCATCATTCTTTTATATTTGACAGATCTTTTGACTACTCTAATGCGGATATTGTGGATTCATACTTGTCAAGTACAGTGACAAGTATTTTTTTGCACCACTCTATAATCTTGGAAATCCTTACCAAGGAGTCATATATACTTTGTTTACAATGCTTTATAACATGACAACATAACCTTTGATGGCTTTTTGTCTCCTACATGCTTTGCATCTCAAATTCTCTGACCAAGTTAAACATCTGCGTACCCTTTTGGTTTCTTTCCTGACTCGATACTCCCTTTCGAGATAGTCCCAAATTTTTTAAACTACAGAAGGAAGATAAGTCTTAGCCTTGTAGTTGTCCTTCTTTGTCTTGTGCTTGGGCCAATGTCAGTTAGTACTATCCAATGTGTCAGTCAAGATCATTTCTCAATAGATTGAGTGTGTTTGGATGGGGAATTTAAATGAAGTAATTCATTTATTTGAAGAATTTCAAATTTCTTGATGTGAAATACTTTGCTTGGATTGAGAATTTATAAAGAAATTGAAATAATTTAATTCAAATACCAAGAATTTCAAATTCCTTAAATTTATAAAATTCCTTGTCCAAACACACCATGGCTTGTGACTGAGAACAGAGTTTGTTATAATTTCTCACTTTAAAAGAGTTGGAACCAGAAGAATGAGGATTCTATGCAGTCAACTTGAATCTTAACCATTAATTATATTTTTAAACTTTTACAAAATTAATAAAATATAAGAAAAAATAAGTCAGCCAATTGAATCATGACTGCAGAGTCAAATATGTAAAAACTGACGTTTACAAAATCAATTCAAGTTTGTTTAAGAGAAATTCCTGATATTTGTTTTCTATAATCTGATGGTATAATAGCTTAGCTGTATTTAGCAGATTTTTTCACTGTTGAACCATGTTGCTACTATTGTAGTAGTTATTGTTGTTTCTTTTTTGATTTTTGTATTCACTTCTGGTGATTGCAACCTTTGTTGATGCATGAATTTATAAAATTGCATCTTTGCCTTTTCAAAAAAAAATGAAAAAAAAAAAAAATCAATTCAAGTCCAAGCTAGAGGGGGATCTGCTATAATTATAGAATTCGGAGAGACAAGGATATTCACCTTATATGACAAGCACTAATTGAAGACTAACTGATTTTGATTCAGAACTCAAATTGTTAATATAAAAACACAAAGTCTTTTGCACAGGAACACTCCGACTCAAGACTAATATTTTGAAATTTTTCAATAATTCACACTTCCAAATATAAGTGCAGCAAGTGTGATGAAATGATCATAATCATCAGTTTCATTTGATTAAAGCCTTCTCATAATGTTGGATGGCAGCGTGATGAAATATATATTTGCATAAAATTACTGATGTTTGCGTTGTCTTGTCCTCTTATACAGAACACATTAACCATGTTGTTTTCTGCACTTATAGCATATAAAATTCGAACCAATTACTCGTTTATATGTGACAAACTGACAATTAAATATGATGCCGACGAGTTGGTTCAAATTGACTGGAATGATTGAATCCCATGCGAGGTAAAGTTTAATACTAAGTGATTGTCATTCTCTAGCCCCTCCTTCGTTATACTCATACATGTGTCACAAAATAGAACTAATGCAGTTATGTAGAGATTAAAAGTTATTCTGTCGTAATCTTTTCCCCTTTTGGGGGCATTAGTAATGCATACTTTTCATATTTAGGGGATCATGCCAGAGTCTACACAGAGGGAGTATATATAACTATTTTCTTTAACAAAGAGGAAAAAAAATAGGAAACTAAGAATGTGCAGTGATAGAAATAAGGCTTATGATAAAAAAAAAGTATATACACTTTTCTTTAATTTATGTACAAGTATGAGACCGTCATGACAAGGTTTTGAATTGTGACACATACTTTGGGTGACTAGCTAGTGGCCGAAAATGTTGAGTTAGGTAACTCTGGTTCTAATTAGTTGTCTTGAGAGGCGTTCGACTCCAACTTCAACACCTTCAATGCACACATGGCTTTGAAAATTCTTAATACTTGAAGGCTTTGAACTGATGAGAAGCTTCAAGATTGTGTCAACCATTTCGAATTCATTAGTGTCTGACACTTGAGACTCACAGGAAATTCTTTTAGGCTGCACAAGCTTGGAGATTACTGACCACCTGCTTTGCTTTAACTGACTTTTGGGGCCAATAAGAAAAATCAACAAAGATTCTAATGAGCTCATTGTGACCACTTCTGCTTCTTTTAAGATGCTAAGCATGGAAAAGTTCTCCTTGCCTTTGTTTAAGGAAGAAACTGTGAACTCATTTTTTATGGCTCTCAAGTCTCTTAAGGCATTTCCAATTGCCTTCTTCATCTTGTTCCTACATGCCAAGTATTTGCCACCCTCAATTGTGAATCCAGTTTCAGCATCTCTCCTCCTGCGGATAACTGAGAAATTCGCGCATGCTATCCTTTGATTGCAGAAGACAATCTTTAACTGTACTACAAATATCCAAGAGCCCCAGAGACCCGTCTAATAGTTCATCATTCTGTTTGCTGCTGCATTCTTGTGCCAATGCTTGTTGGGAGATTCTCAATTGGAGCAACTTCTATCTTGCAAATCCTGCAAGTCATTGAGTCTGTGACTTATTGAAGATGATGACAAAGAAGTGGTGGCTTCAGGATGCTTCAATCTGTGCAAATGCTCCTCAATTTGTGATAAAATGGGGTTTGGTGCAGTGGGCAAGCTGCTGCTGCGATGGTGCAGAGAGCTTTTTATGTTAGTTTCTACAAGTGCCATTTTCTCTTCTCAGAAAATGAAGATGGCTAGAAATGACAAAGACAACTTGTTATGAACTCCGGGTCTTAGTAGTTGATATCTGCTAAATATATAGGAAATGAATAGAGGAGACAAGAAGAATATTTTTGTTTTCAAATGTCACCAATTAAGAGTGCAATTACATTATCTTAATTCTGGTCTTTCCATCCTAGTGTTGCCACAGCAATGTTTGCTCAATGCTTTCCACTAACCAAGCTTCCCAACTCATTTCTCAATTTTTAACTTGGGAATCACCTGATTATGATATCTGCCATAGATGGGATGCCTTTGCTATGTCTCCTCCATATTTTCAGTCCTAAGACATAAAAACTCAAATTGGGAAGTCCAAGAGTGCAGGTGATTGGATTGAACGTTGGAAGTGGATCTTGTGTCTGCAGGAGGAAAAACAGCTCTATTTAAAAAATACCATTAAACAGAACATCTTTAGTTGTATATGGCTTGAAAATGGGGAAGCGGGGTGGAGGTATCTTTTCATCTTCATACATCAAAGATTGTTCAAATCTGGATGGCAATGTATATTGTTGTGATTATTTTATGATATTTGTTTGAGGGATATTTTACGAGGTTATTTTTGTAAGACTATTTCACACACAACTTTATAATGAGAAGATATTGTCTGTTTTGAGTGATGACCAAAAGTAAAACAATGAGAGCTTTGGCCCAAAACAGATAATTTCTTATCATTGTAGAGTTGCGTGTGAAATAACCTTATAAAAATAAGGCTTATAAAATATCTCCTCAGACAAATATCATAAAATAATCTCATCAATGGTATCAAAACTGCAAGGTTGGATTCAATGACAACCCTCATAACCTCTCATAACTAATAATGTGATATATAAAGACAGATTCCGCTGCATGAAAGGTTAGATCTCTTTTTTTTAGGGGAGGGTTGTTGGGATATAAACAAATCTCACATCAATAAAATAAAAGAAAAAATAACAACTTATAAAACACAAGCATACTCCAACGATTAAGAAGCCTTTTGGGTGATGACCAAAAGTAAAACCGTGAGGGCTTAGTCCTAAAGCGAACAATATCTCATCATTGTGAAATTGTGTGTGAAATAACTTTATAAAAATAATACTTATAAAATATCATTTCAAACAAATATCACAAAATAACCCTATCATATATGCAGTTTCCCAGGTCATATCAAATAATTTGTTCAAACGCATGTATTATACTCTATACTGTATTAGAGAGAAATACATAGTCGTCTTAGATATGCTGTATACTTTTTTTTCCCTATTTTATGTTAGTCTGTGAATCATACAGACGTGAAACCAATTTCCCCTTTTTTTTAATTGATATAAGAAAAAATAATTACAATACTTACAAGCTAGTTTTCAACCCTTCGGGGTTGGTAGATATGAGTCAACACAGTAGAAGTAGAGGATACTTGAATACAGTAAACTGTAAAGGGGAAATTATTAATGAAGGTATATGAGGAGAGGCAAGGATGCAAATTCACCCCGCCTAAAAATAAACGAGCTACACAAACTTATCCATTAAAGATTAATGACAAAACGGTAAAGTTAGAAAGTTTTGAAAATGTGGCTCGTAATTGTGTTTGCTGTTCAATTTGAATCAATTTTGAGATTAAAAATAATTTTCTGTTATCATAGACAAAAATTGAGTTCTGTTTGAATCAGTTCGAAAATAATCTCAAATTTAAACTAAACAAATTTAATTTTTGCAGTTTGGATTGGATTGCTATTTTGGATTTTGTCTTTTAATTTTCAAGTGACAACACTCTATTTGTCTTTTAATGGCTAATTTTTTATGCAAGGACAACACTTTTTAAACAAAAGTCAAATGCATGATAAATGGGGAAAAAAAGAAGAAAAAAATTGTTCAAACTATTAAATATCATTATGAATTATGACTGGATCTATATTACAAATCACAATAATCTTCAATTTTTTAAAAATACAAATATATGGTCATAATAAAGTTAGGTTTTATTTGATGATAAAATAGGGAAATGAATATAAATTTAATATGTTTGTGATTGGATATTTTGATTTGGTTGGATTCAGTTTTGGGCATGGTAGCCAAAACCTAAATGGGTAATTGGATCGGTTTTTGAACACACTTACTCGATGCAAACATATCATGGACTCAAGAGAGCATATGTATAACATATGAACAATATATTGAGTTATATATTTATCATATCATCATCATCAACATAACAAGTACATTATCTACAATTTTACCCAAGACGATAATATCTATGCCATTACAAAAATTTGACACCTCTATTCTTCATCTAGTGATTAAGGATGTTGAGAAGGGCAACTCTGATTTTAATTAAACGCCTAAACAGTGACTCAAGTCCTTCTTCAAGATCTTGTATACAGCTTCCCAAGTTCTCAAGCTTCTTTTGCAATTCATTTATGTCATTAGACTTGGTTGACATGTTAAATGCAAATAACTGCAATGCAGCATCCACTTTTGCAAACTCATTTTCATCTGTTCCTTGTGTGTAGCCTGCCCTTTTGTTGTGCATCAGCTTTGATACCAAACCCCAGCTGCTTCGTTTTCCTTGTGCTGACCCAGAAAAGAAATTCAGCAATGACTCAAAGATTGAAAAAGTGATCACTTCAGAGTCTTTCAACAAGGCTACCAAGGCCATGGTTTGGTAGTCTTTGTTAGTGATGGCAAGGTTGCATTTATTTGCATTACCCTTCAAATTCTCCAAGGCTTTGAATATGGCCTTTCTAACCACCTTCCTTGAGGTCAAGAATTTCTTAACCTCTACATTGAGCTCCACTTCACCCGCTCTTCTTCTTCTTATAGTTGATTGTAGTTCACGTGTGCACTCTTTGGTGTGGAGTAAGGCATCTTTGGTTGCAGTGCAGGCATCAAGGAGCCTTAGAGATCCATCCAAGAGATCATCAACCCATTTCTCTTGGCGTTCATGGACAAGTGCTTCTTGTGTTAGGGGTAGTTGAACCAACTTTTCAATGCACTCATGCAAATCAAGAAGGCTAGTTAAATTTTGCCTGAGGAATGAAGAAGAAGAGATGGTATCAGAGGCCCCTAATCTAGCTAAGTGTTCATTGCATTGTAGGATGAGAGGGTGTGGCTTAGAGGGCAAACTATTAGAACGAGCATGGTTATGGAATTTTTGGTTCAATGAAGAGCCTGCCATTTTTCCTCAACTAGAGTTCGATGTTGAATATGTGCAATTGAATGGCCAACTTGCTATCCTTTCTTGGATATTGATCAATATATATGGCCATGGAGGCACAAGGATTGTTATCTTAAACTAATGCAAATAATTGCTAACTGATCTAGATTGATCTAAATTATTATCACTTATCAGAGATATGTTAATGCAATGTCCCCCGAGCCTAATCTTTACAACTCATACCCCTTTGTTTTATTAGTCCTTCCGGCCTCATCATTCTATAATCCCACTTGGATTTTGGTCCATACTTCTTTTTGGTACACTGTTTCTAAGTTTCTTTATCATAACTTGCACGAGGGACATTGACATTATTTTGGTAGTTGCTGTTGATACAATTATTTATTTGTCTTTTGTGAAGAATTATTTTATCCATGTAGACGTATGCACGTGTAGACTAGTTGAATTCATAAAACGAGAGCTGCATATCTCTTGCTAATCAGCTTGAAATCATACTAATAAATATACAATCATTTATCATTCTATCACTTTAATTCTGTCACTATCTACCACTAATACTTTCGGATGTGCCGGTGATTGACTTGAACGGTTTATTGCCATCCATATGCCTTTCTGTTTAACTGTGATCAGTACGACCATTTTGTATTGACAGTTTAACTCAAAATAACATTGTCTTTTAAAAAAAAAAAATGCTCTCCTCTTTAAACAAAAAATTAAATATTTTATCTACATAAATTAGGGGTTGTGAAGAATAAAGTGGTGGATTTTATGAACAAGATAGGCCCCATACCTTGATTTAGATATAGTGTTAGTGCTGAAATATAATTTTAGTTGTGACGGTGTTAGTGTATTATAGGCCTTGCTTTGCTGTCCGTATAATATAGAAAGATATCATAAGGAAATTGCATATGGATTTGCTTGTTCCTCTTAATTATAGGAAGACAAGCAACACATCGTTCATTGCATTAAACTTGTGATATTTGAGCCCACGAATGATAATTGAGGGCAGTTAATCAACCACCACGCCACCCACCAAATGGCTAAGGCAATCGTGAGATCAGCCACAATGTTGCTCCAAAATATGTGATTGATCAAAATGCAATACACAACTAAGATGCTTAGAAACACCAAGATTTGAATTAGATCATGACACTTATATTCAAATAAAAGCAAATAATTAGGACTATATTTACCAAATTAAACCTTTTATTGGTGGCTGACGGGTCAGATTATTTTAGAGTAGACATTAACTCCTCAATCATTCTTCCCTCTTAAGTTAACTCTTCGATTATTCTTTTACTTATTTTGCAGCTGGACTTGAAATAACACCAAAGAGAGAAGTGAGACATGGCTGAAAGTAATATACATTCAGTCAGTACAAAGCCAAAAGTTTATTTCTAATGATTTGCCTTTAAAGATGGTGAATTCCGGATTCTAAGACCTGAATGCCTTACTCTAGGAATCCATATGATCTTGAAAACTCTTAATAGATATAGGGCATGTTTAAATATTTTTTTTTTCTAGAAACACAGAAAGAAAAATTAAAAAATAAAATAAAATAATTTTTTTATAAATTAAAATTAATTTACCCATGAATTAATTTGTAAAAGTTTACGTATTAACTTTTTCAAAAAATTATTTTAATTTATGTATAAATTAATTTTAATTTGTAAAAAAACATATTTCATTTTTTTTCTTTAAAATGTTTTAGATAAGTTTAATCATGTTAGTCTTGTCACAGGACAGATAGCAAAATTTTATCCACCTCAAATTCATTTGTGTTTGATTGGTGAATCTTGCATACTCTTTTGGGCTGCATCAACTTGGAAACTATTGACCAATCAACTATCCTTTGGTTGTCCTCTTGAACAAAACCTAAAAGACAAAAGTTGAATCAGAGTGACAATTTCATCTTCTTATAAGTTGCTAATCTTTGTTTTAGGAAAGATAAAAGGAGCTCCATATGAAATATCTTGAAAGGTCTTCGGAATTGTCTTCTAGTACTTGATCAACCCATGTTCTTGTGCCAAGGTTTGCTATGTGGAAGGCAATTCTCGGTGCTATCCTGCAAATGATGGAGGGTAATCAAAAGGAGGGTTAAGAAGCCTTCATTAAATTAAAATGCTACTCTTATTTTGACATGAAGCATTATCTACAAGGAATACTTGTTTAGATCATATGTCAATCTTTATCATACTTCATTCGTAATAGCAATAAGAGTGTATCCCCGATGTCTAACTCCCAAAATCACTAATTAATTTCTTTTTTTATTATACTATTAATTTTTTTCCAAGTGTGTGATAAGTTCAAGCTACTAAAAATATACTAAAACCTAACAATAGATCAGAATGAAGTTGTATCGTCGTCAAAAAGTTTTTAATGAAAATGATATTACTATATATATTTTTTTGTTCATAAAAGGTTTAGAATTAATAAAATATTATGTTAACTAAATTTTGGTTATTATTATTATTATTATTATTTATTTATCTTTGAAACGATTATTTACCACAGTAGTAAATTAAAATATAAAGTTAAAATACCAAAAAAAAAACTCTATCATAAAAAACATTGTTTGTCTCATTAATAGTTATATAAAACAATATTTAAAATGTCATAATTATTTCTCAATTACAAAATTTTCGTTCTCAAAATTTTTATTTGTTAAAATAAATGAGGATACTATTGTTTAATTTTATCTTTCGATTTTCATGTGAAATTTCTTGTGACTTCATTACAAATGATCTTTACTAGTAAGATTTGTTTCTCTTAATTGTTTGATTCTTTTGTCTGCGATTTGTATAGACATTGTTTTAAATGTGAGGTTATTTTTTAATTATACTATATCAAACTTTATTATATGGATAGGATCAAAAATATATTTTTATATTTGAGACATATGGAAAACATTGTAAAGGTTAGAATGAAAAGGAGGTAAAGAAACTTAATAAATAATAAAAACCTATTTTTCTAAGCATTTGGTAAAAACTAATAAATCGATAAGTCTTTGATTTCATTACTCTACCAACTCTTGGTAGTATAACTTTTAAAAATACGTAATCACCTTAAAATTGAAGATATCATCTTTTCTTTTTATAACTTTTTATTCTCAATTTTTCCTAAATCATTGTAAGTTTTCCATGATTTGTTGAACCATTTGAGGACCTAAGAGTGTATGTTTAAGTTCTTTGCTATTTTTATGCGGAGCTCGTAGCCATTCTTATTTGTAGTTATAAGTTCATCTGTTTGCAAAATATTCAGACCAGAATCTTGCATACTTGGGTCTATGTATCATACATTTTAGAGCCAACTGTCATCATCTAAGATTTATTGGTGTGATTAAATCGTCTGTCAAAATATCGACTAAACATTCAGCAAAGAAAGCTAAGGCGTTTCAGCCACTCAAAATTACCGGCCGGCAAGCTTTTTCTAGAAAATTGCATTTCAAAATTGTTTGATATATCCATAGCAATTATACAAAAAAATAATATTCATTGCGTTAAGCTTATAAAATATACACACACACATATATATATATATATATATATATATATATATATATATATATATATATATATATATAATGCTCT